AGAAGGGCTGTTTTTAGGGGTTTTTCGGCAATCATTCTAATTTTTCTCACCTTTTAAACCTTCCCTGGACTTCCAGGATTATTTCAAGACTAAAATTAGCCAAATCGGTTCAGCCGTTCTCGAGTTTTAGCGAGACTAAGGAACAGCAATCCATTTTTATATATATAGAAGACTAGTAAACCTGGCGAACTCCGTTTCGCCACCAGAAGGCTTTTATTTCGTTTGGTGATTAAAATATGAAGATTTTTTTTTGTTTTATATTTGAAAAGGAAATTTTTTATTTCATTTCACAATTGTAATAAATTCATTTCGATTACAAAAATGAAGTGTTATTTAGTTGAACTTCTCTAAGTACATGAAAGTGAATCCAAAGTAGATACCGAATCGAAGCGTTATACGTGTCCGCAAATTACCCGTTTCATTGAAGTGGTCCTTTGTAAACCAGATTTTTTGTTTTTTGGTCTAACTTTAACACAAATAAAGCGGATGGTTTCCAAACTCGTGAACACGCAAAATATAACGCCCATGTGAAAAACAATGTTTTCTAAATTTACCCCGCAAATATTAAATGGTTTTAAGAGTTCAAACTACAAACACAATACCGGTTTGTCACATCAAATTAACTGAGCAGAGAACAATGAGTAGCTGTCAACCAATGTATATTATGCACCGGCACCATTTATTTAAAATATTGATTAGTAGTAGGTACATGTTATGTGTGATGGCGCTGTATGTGAAAAAAGATTTTCCCGCTTTTCTATTGAATTTTTTTGTTATATACCTCACGGAATCCGAGACCTTTCCAACGAATGCAAAACCGTGGAAATTAGTTCGTTCCGGACCGGACTTATTTTTATTTTTTAAATAGTAGATCTCTTACAAATATCTAATTGTCATCATTACGTCATTACATATCTGTCATTATACGTCAATTGCATAGCTGTCAATTGTGTTTCGTTATTCCACGTTTTATAGTGACTGACGTTTAATGTCAAGTCCCACGGGAATGCTGTCGAACGGGATAAAAAGTATCCTATTGCAATTTCCTGGTTCTAAACTACCTCCTTGCCAATGCCAATTTTCAGCCAAAATCGGTTCCGCCGTTCTTGGGTTATAAGTGGAATCACTAACACGACTTTCTTTTATATATTTAGATGTATTTCTACTCACAGATACCAGCGATAGCAAACTCTCGAACTGCCTCAAGATCTTGAACCGCGTCAATATATACATACCGGAGCTATTACCCGCCATCCCACATCAACCGTGTTTGGGAATGTTATGTAGAAGCCTATCTATGAACCAATTTTATAAGTACAGAGAAAATTTCTATATATTATGTCACGGTAGCGGCTTATATCCCTACAAATATTATAAATGCGAAAGTAACTCTGTCTGTCTGTTACGCTTTCATGCCTAAACCACTGAATTGATTTTAATGAAATTTGGTACAGACATAGAGTTGACCTTAAGAAAGAACATAGGATAGTTTTTTATCCCAGACTTTTGAAAGGTTCTCTTGGAAACGCGATATAACGGAACTCCACGCGGGCGAAGCTGCGGGCGGAAAGCTAGTTAAATATAAAAGTACGACATATCTTTTTAATATAACGGTACCCTTACAGATATCTAATCATAATATGAGGTGATAGTCCGGTCAAATTAGACCAAATGATAACAGTCAGGTTACATAAATTCCCACCAAGCTGAAAATCGGTAAGATTGTTTGAAATATCATTAAAAACAAAATTTGAAAGTTCCCCATCTTTTCTCTGTAAGGAAAAAAATTTATTCAAGGTCAAAGGTAAACAAAATGAGTTTTTCGCGATATTCAGCAAAACGATAAGTTTATCATAAAAATATCCCAGACAAAAATTTAAGATCATAAAATTATCTACAAAGAATTACTTAATACTTTTGTTCTACGAGCCACCGTTTTTGAGATGTATAACGATTCAAAAAGTTGTAAAAGTTGTAATCGTCATAATATTTCCTCGCCACCTTTGAGGTTGTGTACTTAGCTTTTTTTTTGTATCTTCCCCAGTAGGTCTATTCCACGGGTCAGTTTTGATCTTGTTTAATGTGAAACTATTGATAAATAATGGATATTAGCAGAGATTGAAAAGATAAAAGCAATTGAAGTTTAAAAAAAGTAGTGAAATTTAATCGTCCGATGTCGTAATTTTCAAAAGGCGCATTTCAGGCGCAGGTGGAAGTAAAGTGTAAAAATATTTAAACACTCGCTTCTGCCGCGACTCCGTCCGCGTGGAATAGTGACTTCCGGCAGATTTTTGGTTCTTCCCACATAGTTCGAATCGAATGGTCGAGTTCCTGTAGAATTTTCAGGATAAAACCTATGTTTTTTTTATTCACAATGAAGTACTCTTAACCAACAACATATTTATTTGTTTATTTGAATAAAGATTAATATTATTATTTTGATACAACTTAAACAAATTATTTCGACAAAATTAGGTACCATAAAAACGGTTTTTGTGAGTTAATCTTAAAAGATAGACAAATACTGTCGCGGACTGTTTATTAGATCATCAAAAGATCTATTATTCTTTAATACATATTTTTTGTTAAACGTTTATTTGTATATTTAATTAACTAATATTGTACTGTTTACTGAAATGTACAAGTTTATGCTATTTTTAATATATATAAATGATATTAGTAACCTAGGTTTATTTGGGGAAGTATCGCTGTATGCAGACGACACTTGTTTGTTTTACTTTGAGGATTCTATAGAACGTCTATTAGTAAAAGCACAGAACGATTTAGATAAACTACACGAATGGTTTCAATATAATTTACTCACTATAAATATTGAAAAAACCTCTTTCATGCTTTTTCATGCAAAAAATAAGAAAATTCCAAATTTCACTCCATTAACGATAAATAACCTGACTATCCAACAATCAAATCAAGAAAAGTATCTAGGCCTGATCCTAGACCCGAAACTAACATGGCATGCACATTTAGATTATATACAAAGAAAAATAACCTCATTTACTGGAGCTATACGTAGCTCATCACGTTGTATACCACACAAGATTCGTATTATAATATATAACTCACTTATCAAACCTTTATTGGAATATCTTGTTGAGATTTGGGGAAGTGTGCATCTAAAACTAATATAAAGGATCTTCAAATTTCGCAAAATAAATTAATAAAAACTTTGTTCCATTTAGATTATCACATGTCAACTGAGGAATTATATAAACGTACAAATATATTATAAACTAGTTTTTGCCCGCGACTTCGTCCGCGTTAGTTTGGTCAAGAGTAATATATGTAGGTATAGCTGACCAGTCGAACTCTATTCCGTCTTACAGGCCATAAATAATCAGGTTTTTCCTGTTTCAATCAAACAGAATTGACATATTTGTTAGTTGTCAAATCTAATGTCAAAAAAAAACGTTTGTATGGGAAATAGAAAAGGGCTGTTTTTAGGGTTTTCCCGGCAATTATTCCAATTTTTCTCACCTTTTAAACCTTCCCTGGACTTTCAGGAGTATTTCAAGACTAAAATTAGCCAAATCGGTTCAGCCGTTCTCGAGTTTTAGCGAGACTAAGGAACAGCAATCCATTTTTATATATATAGAAGATTAACCAGTTAATAGTTATACAAATATAAAACATGCATATTAATTAGAAAAATTCTTACGAAATCAATACACACACAAATAACATTTAAAACTAGAACATACAAACATAACACGAGACATAAACACAAACTGGAATTACCCAAGACCAGGACCAAATATGGAATTAAAAGTATACAGTTTGAGGGAGCAGAGAGAGACGACGAAACCTCTTAGCATTCAATGGATTCACCGTGCGGGTGCCGGGTCCATCGCGTTGCAGGGAGAGGAGCTTCAACAGTGCCTGGGACTTGCGACCCAGGTGTAGGTTTAAGGGGCCCCTTAACTAACGCGCGTTACGCTCACCTCCACTGTCCAAGTTCCTCTCCCTACCTAACCAAATTTGAAAAGAACCTACTAGGGCTGCCTTCGACGTACGTTCTAAGAATGAATTAATGTTAGTTCTGGACAGGCCCAAGTCTTTTAGTAGGTTATAGAGAGATTTAGCTGTTATACCTCTCGCTCCCACCTCTACCGCGTACAAATCAACGACGAACCTATTTCGAGTTAGTTCGTTAGTGAGCTCGTAATACTTATTGACCTTGATGGCATGGTCTTTGGGGATGTTGGTTTCCCAAGGCACCGTAAGCTCTATCATCACAACGCGCTTTAAAATACGCGAATATAGAAATATGTCTGGTCTGGAGGCCGACGCACAAATATCCTCGGGGATTTTGTATTGTTTCTCATACGTATCCATCATGATAGTCCAATCCGAAGCCGCTTTAAGGATAGAGTAAGGCTTGACGTTTGATTTTATAGCCCTGGTGCCCTCTCTCACAAAAAACTATTGATCGCTCGTTTGTGGTTATTTCCCTTTGCGCTCTGGCTACCGAAAGACTAACCGCTTCACGTATGATCTCTAAAACCCTATCGTGACGACGCGAGTATTGACCGCTGTCCAGGAGAACCTTACATCCCACCAGCAAATGCTTGGCAGTTCCAACTGCCTTTCCGCAGATATAGCAAGTTTTTTCGGTACCTTTACCCCATCTTACAAAATTACTCTGATCTGGGAGAGTCATCTGGAACGCATTGAGATAAAATTTTAGCAAGGCTGGCGACCAGTCATGAATTAGGGTGCGCCATTTTAGTGCTAGTGGAATGCAAAAATCTCCCATGTCTAACCACTCGTTCTGCATTTCTAAACTCATTGCATGGATCTTGTATTTATCGTTCTCGTCTTGCCGAATAAAAGACTTCAATATATCCGTATCTTGGACTTTCCTACTTGATCCTAACCCTACTCTGTTATTTTGCGCTCCGATCATAAATTGTTTATGGAATTGAAGTCGTGACTCTAGCTCTGGGGCATCATTGTCTTTTGGGAGTGATGTAACGACGTCATCATGGGATTTTCCCAGGATATGTCTCTTGGAAACTCTTAGGTGTTTGTAGAGCTCCGATGGTCTTTTTAGATTCATCCCAAAACTTATTACGATCCCTGAATAAAGCCGATGAATCAGCCGTTAGCGCGAGCCCGAGCCACAACTTCAACATCTTTATGACGCCTGCATCTAATCTAGATAAAAGGGTTTTACTAAAATCATAGACGAGGAAAGGCCAATTCAAACGTGAAGTTAAGTAATTATCGTAGATCCATGCTTTTTTTACGTTACTGATCTGCTGGCTATCTACCTTGTTGAGATCATTTAAAAAGCTATCTACTATTCCTTCTAAAGATGGAGTACGACCTATATTATCAATCTTACGACCGAGAAACTTGAATGGTGCATTTTCCGTAACCGTAGAAACGCATTGACCGCCTATCGATAGTCCCGGATCGTATGAGGTGTATCTTGTATTCCACCTACCAAGACACAGACAGTGACATTTACTTGGTTTTGTCCTCAATCCATCCGTCCACTCACAGAATTTATCCACTTCATCCAATAGTACTTGACAGTGTTTGGGGAGACGTGTCAGTATTGCGAGATCGTCAGCGAAGGCTAAAATGGATTCCGTGTATTTGTTATTGAACTTAAACCGATACCCCCATTTTTTCTCATTGCTGATAAGTTTATCTACTAGGATATTGATTATAATATTAAATACTATTGGAGATAAACAGCACCCTTGAAATAGTCCTACATTGTAACTCAAACTTTTTGAAGGGCCTTCTTTAGTTATAATAGAAAACTTTAATTTTGAGTAATACGACGCAATCATATCGCTAACTAAGGGTGGAAAGTTATACCATCTAAGCGCGAATAGCATCAACTCGTGTTGTATCGACCCGAACGCGTTCTCTAAGTCTATCCAACAAACTGTAATTTGCCGCTCGCTTTTTCTAGCATCTTTCAAACTCTCCGACAGCAAGGTATTGTGTTCTAGGCATCCAGAAATCCCGGGTAGAAACCCTTTCTGGTGATTTGGCCTAAAATACTTGTTGCTGAGCATGAATCGCGTCATTCTCGTTTGTAGGACCGAGAAAAAGATTTTAGATATTGTATTTGTTAAGGCTATCGGTCTAGTATCCTTCGGATCGGTAACTCGATCTTTTTTGGGAATGAGGACAAAAATTGCTTTCCCGAAACACTCCGGGATTTGCTTCCTTGACCAGATTTTGCCGTATATATTTAGGAGGTGTTTACGAACCGATGGACATTTTTTAAAGACTATATATGGGATACCATCGGGGCCCGGTGCAGATTTAGATGATTTCCTCTTTATGTGACTACTTATTTCGTCTAACGTTGGTGGTATGCCGTGAAAATCGATATGAGGAATTTCCGGTTTTTGTTCGTTTGGATCCGTATAGAGCCTTACACTTTTAGGCACTTCGTATGTGCTCTTGAAATGGTCGTAAATTTGATCGTTGGTCAAGAGAAGCTGTCCGCGTTCTTTCTTAAAAATGGTTTTCGAATACTCAAAAGGGTTTTATCAAAATCTACTTCCTGTTTGGCCCGGTCAAAATTACCGCGATATTCTGCAGTTTGTGCCGATATTCCTTGAATTAATTTAAGGATTGATCTTAACGCCCTAGCTAGCTGATGACTAAGGTGGTTGTCGCCTAGAGCTTTGGCTATACGTAGATTTTTTATTAATTCCCGTTTTTTCTTCCTCATTTTTATCTTGAACGAATTTTCTTTATTTTTGCGAGCGTAATGATTACGTGGTGGATATTGCTCGTTGAAGTAGTCATAAACGGTATTTTGGAAAGTTTCTACCTGCGAGTTCAATTCCTGCTTCGAGCCCGGATGCTCTAACAGGACCGCTAAATTGTCGTCGTGAACTTTCCAAGTCGATTGTTTCATGTTAGGAATGCTAAGACGTGTCCGGATGTTAATGGACTCCTGGTGGTTTCCAGTTAATGGTTCACCATGGGATACGTGAGGGTCAACTCTATCCGAAGTGATAATTGAAGAACTTACCAACGATTGTCGTGCTTCAACACCATTATGTGTTTTTAGGTGTTTAATGTACCAGGCTCGTCTCTTGTAATTTTTCCCGCACGTAGGGCATTTCAAGTCCGTATTCGCGCCGTTTTCGCCGTTTAAATCGACCGGTGGACAGATCTTCCGCCCCCCCTCTCGGACTGTCCCAGGGGTATTTTTCTTTTTAGGACTTTTAGCTTAATAAATCCCGGGCTGGGCTTGCTAGGCCGTTGCCCTCGGCTGTCTTTCCAGCAGTCATCCGTCTTTCCGGCAGTCATCCGTCTTTCCGGCAGTCATCTGTCTTTCCAGAGTCAGCCCGACTCTCCGGGCAGTCGTTTTATATGAGACGAAACCTCTTAGCATTCAATGGATTCACCGTGCGGGTGCCGGGTCCATCGCGTTGCAGGGAGAGGAGCTTCAACAGTGCCTGGGACTTGCGACCCAGGTGTAGGTTTAAGGGGCCCCTTAACTAACGCGCGTCACGCAAGCCATTATACTATATAATGGCTTGCGTGACGAAATGTTTGATGAAAAAACGTTTGTGATTTTTAGGAGGAAACTATTGGATTATTGTAGGGAGCACTTGGATTAACCGCTCTTGAGTTCTATGGTTCGTTGCTACTGTACTGAATTGTTGTTTGAATTGAATTGTGTTTTACATCTCATTCAAGTGAACATTGTTCTTTATGAGAGATAAATAAAGTTCTTTAACCACAAATGTACAAGTTTTCTTGACGAAGTTTTCGTTTTAATTGTGACAAAAAATATTTATAAATTTAGAAGTAACTCTCTTCTATTACTGAAAGATATGTTTTATTAATAATAATGAAGTGCATATAAAAGCTTATTAAATATTAATATTAATCAGCGGTCAGCCTTATTTTATCTTCTTTGTTAGTAACAAATACGTTCACACAACACAAACTACTCACTGTCCAAAATGTAGTTGTTAACGACATTTCTTCTAAGGTGAGTGAGTTCATATAATTTGTTTTAATGCGATGAGCATTTTTAAGATATAAAAAAAATACATTCAAAATATACTTTTCTAAATAATTTGTCACAATATTCCATATACATATTTGATAATCGTTAGTTTTCTGTTAATCAATATTTATTGATGTACGAGTATAATCATCATTAAGTCAGTCTCGTACTAATTGCGTGTATCGTGTATACTAAAAATATTTTATTAATATAATATTATAAATATGTGGACTTGATTTGATTTAATGAAAGTAATGTCTGCTCTTCCACATTAAAATTCGTACACAGAACAAGTCGTGTACACAGTCCATGTACATATGTGAGTCAGGAAGTAACTCCCTAGAAACCTCAACGCTCTTCTTCATATAAACCGATATTCACAACAAACCTTCATATCCTTAGATTCTTGTGGTTAAATTGAATACGTCATTTCTGTAATTCAATATGTAATTCCTGTAATCTTCAAATATTTTGATTTAGGGGGGTTAAGTAGAACGGTAAGCACAAATACATATGTGGTTTATCGCCTTGGTCACTGTCACAAGTTTGGAAAAAATATCTATTTTATCACATTTGAGAGATTGTGATAGTTTCTATGGTAAAATGGGAAATGAGTTGAATTAAAATGTTTATAATGTAGGAGAATTAGTTATTAGAATATAGAATGTGATGCGATTTTGTTGTAAAATAACCAGAAAAAAGCTATAAAGTTTGGGCTAGTGTAACAAAGATAGCTGTTTGAAGTCAGTACATCTAATGATATTTCAGGTTTTCGCATGAACACCTTTAAAATAAATGTTCTTTGGATACTACGTATTTTATATTACATTTTCTATCTTGTTAATTACTTAACAGCAACTGTGATCTTTTGCAGACGGGATCAAAATTATAAAACTATAAATACACCTTTTGAAACATTTTTTTAATCTTTTTTTTTTTTTACGATAGTGAGTCTGATAACCTATATTCGTTTTTAATACAAAGCAGTTAAGATTCACAATCACTTCCCTTTTTAACGTCATGACTATTAATATCATGGGAATTAGTGATGACAAAATGTATAGACTATAGTTGGTATAGAAAAATGTCATTAGTGAGACGAGGAGTAATGGGAGGATGTATTTACAGCGCACTAGTGGGTGTTGGATTCTGTAGAAGATTTCCACCCAGGTTTAAATTCGGTGCAGCCACAGCTGCTTACCAGAACGTCTGCGGTACGTTTATGTTCGTGTTTTTAATAATGAATTTATATAACACTAATAATCAATTCCTCGACAGACAAGTCTCCAAGTATCTGGGACACGTTCGTTCACACTAGACCAGAGATTATAGTCGATGGCTCCAACGGGGACGTCGCCTGTGACAGCTACAATACAACCAATGGATGAAAGACGTGGAAGTAGCTTCGGAGTTGGGATTAGATTTCTACAGGTGATACATTGACTCTGATGTTACAATACTTATTTATTGGTTGCTATGAAATTGAAATTGGTATTTTTTATTTATTTCACTGTTACTAATTATTGCACTATCACTTTTCTGACCAAGCAACTTGAAAAAAATGTACCAATAGTCACGCGATCCCTCTCAGTCCGATTTAATATTAACTTTTCATATATAATAATAATTATAGTTGCTTAGTAAATATTTTTTTACGGAATCTATATATATAAAAGAAAGTCGTGTTAGTGATTCCACTTATTACCCAAGAACGGCTGAACCGATTTAGCTGAAAATTGGCAGGGAGGTAGTTTAGAACCAGGAATTTGCAATAGGATACTTTTTATCCCGTTCGACAGCATTCCCGTGGGACTTGACATGAAACGTCAGTCACTATAAAACGTGGAATAACGAAACACAATTGACAGCTATGCAATTGACGTATAATGACAGATATGTAATGACGTAATGATGACAATTAGATATTTGTAAGAAATCTACTATATAAAAATAAAAATATTTAGGTAATGTGTTTGTAGTTTGAACTCTTAAAACCATTTAGTATTTGCGGGATAAATTTAGAAAATCATTGTTTTTGACATGGGCAGTTATATTTTGCGTGTTCACGAGTTTGGAAACCATACGCTTTATTTGTGTTAAAGTTAGACCAAAAAACAAAAAAAATGTGGTTTACAAAGGAGCACTTCAATGAAACGGATAATTTGTGGACACGTATAACGCTTCGATTCGGTATCTACTTTGGATTCACTTTCATTTACTTAGAGAAGTTCAACTAAATAACACTTCATTTTTGTAATCGAAATGAATTCATTACTGTTGTGAAATGAAATAAAAATTTTCCTTTTCAAATATAAAACAAAAAAACTCTTCATCTTTTAATCACCAAACGAAATGCTATATAAAAGCCTTCTGGTGGCGAAACGGAGTTCGCCAGGTTTACTAGTATTAGTCTAAATTTTTAATATGATATCTTATTTTTATATGTATTTTTTATAGATTTTCCCTTTCTTGGCCAAGAATTTTGCCTCATGGTTTTGCAAATAAGACGTGTGAAGACAGAGTAAAATTTTACTCCAACTTTATTGGAGAGAGGAATCGAGCCTGTCGTTACAATATATCACTGGGATTGCCACAAAATTTACAAGATCTTGGTGAGTTTCAGAGATTTCTAAAAGTATTTAATACAAATACATTGCTTCTTCACTATATAAAATAGAATAAATAATTAAACAAAACACTACATGGTTTTCAAAATACTTCATTACAAATTTTTATAAATTTATAAATTTTAATTATATAAGTTCAAAGAGTTCATCTTTGCTGATAAAACTGAAGAACCCATTTAAATTAATATTTTTCAGTAACAACATATTCTTTGCAAATGATTTCTTTAAATGAAAACGAATGGCAAATCATATTGATGAATAAATATTAATGAGTTCAAATCTTTCTAATCAGGCAGGAACTTTAAATAAATCTTGTAAATTAAATATTCATCAATAAGAATCCTCACCGTTCAGTGCATTCTACACAAGCTTGTAGCACTATATGAAATGTTTGTTAGCCCAAGTAATAATTCACAGGCGGCTGGAGCAATCCTTTAATATCAGATTGGTTTGCGAACTAGGCTCGTGTTGAGTTGACTCTATACGCTGACCGAATCAAAACTTGGATCACTCTCAATGAACCGCTGACGTTTTGTGACATTGCTTACACTTTTGGTCTTCACGCTCCAGGAATAGTTAGCACTGGAGTTGGAAATTACATCTGCAGCAAGAACACAATGTTGGCACACGCTAAAGCATGGCGGATATATGACAAGGAGTTTAGACGAAAATATAAAGGTAAAAGAATTATACGAATTTATAAACAATACTTTAGGTACTTGATTTTTGTTAATTAATGTAATCTTAGGTTCTTCTGAATTAATTCTGCATATACTATTGTGTTATATTACATTTTAAAGGCGAAGTGTCTATCACCAATCAAGTCATGTGGTTTGAGGGAGAAGATGAAAATGAAGGGGATGCGGCTGAACTGGCTCTATAGTTAATGGTGAATAAAATTACAAAGAGAGTCTAAAAATAATAGTGTTGCTGCTAAATACTTTTGAAGTTTAATTCAAATGATTGAAAATGTTCATTTACTGTTGTACAATTTCAGGGAGGACTGTACTCACACCCAATCTACTCAAAGGAAGGCGGATGGCCAAAGAAAATAGAAAAACCCATAGCAGAAAAGAGTAAACAACAGGGATTCCCGAAATACAGATTACCAGAATTCACAAAAGAAGAAAAAAACTAATAAGAGGTGAGAAAAATAATAACAAAACTAGGAATTTCTATTAATAATTATAATGAAAGTTATAAGAAAGCCATATAAATAGCAATAGCAAGCTCATATCTTGGTTGAAGAAACAGTATGGAAACATGGAGATCTTCATAACAGAGAATGGTTTCGCAACCAGCGGCGAGGATTTAGATGATCAAGATCGTATAGGTTACCATAAGAAGCATTTGGAACAGGTGATTAATATTAACAAAGTTACATTCCAGACGGACAAATAAAAAAAATATGTTATTATTTGAACTAATATCTTCCACCAGGTTGTCCTCGCGGTTGAAGAAGATAAGGCCAATGTCGTG